ACCATCTGGACAGAGCTCAACCAAACCTGACTCCTCTAGGCCCTTCCTGGGAGCACCTGAGAAACCAGCAGCACCAGGCGATGCCCTCTCCTCCGAGAACCAGGGATAGTTCCTCCAGATCCCTTCAGACTTACAGGCTCTGAGAACTCCAACCTTCCTTCCCTTTTCAGTCCTAGATGAAGTAGCTGCTTAATGCAGTTATTACATCAAAGTTCCTTTAAGATTCCCTTTTTGCTTATCCAGCCCTCCAGCAAGGGTTTAAACTAATTCTCTTTACTGACTTCACTTTTAAAATAGCTATATGTGGTTTCTACTTTCCTGATTGGATCCTAATTGATACATAGATAAACTGAGCTCACAAGAAAGAGAAAGTCCAAGAAAAGTGACCTGACAGCATAGCTGTCCCAGCAGTGTAAAAAATTTATAACCACCTCATTGTCAAGGAGACAGATTTTGAGCCTACAAAGAGCAGTTGAGATTCCTGTACAAAGGCTAAGACATTCAATAAAGACAAACCGGGGGGGGGGGGGGGGGGGGGGGGGAAATCTGTCCATAGGGAAATAAGGAAGCTTGTCTTGCTCACTTAATGAAGTGGGAGGAAAAAACCCTCTTGGAATTCTAAACCATAGTTGTTTTGTGGCTTGGAGATCTACAAGTAGAGAAAAACTACATACATTTTGGTCCCAGGTTGGGAATAGCCTTGAGTGCCCAAAAGAAACAACCACAAAATTGCTCCAGAAGATATATGAATGGCCAATAAATATGTGAAAAGATGTTCAACATCACCAGTCATTAGGTAAATGCAAATTAAAACCAGAATGAGATACTACTACATCTCCATGAGAATGGTAAAATTAAAAAGGCTGACAATACCGGGGCGCCTGAGTGGCTCAGTCAGTTAAGCATCCAACTCTTGATTTCCACTCAGGTCATGATCTCATGGGTGGTGGGACTGGGCCCCATGTCAGGCTCCATGCTAACGGCATAGAGCCTGCTTGGGATTCTCTCTCCCTCTGCCCCTCCCCTACTTGCACTGTCTCAAATAAAATAAACTTAAAAAAAGGCCAACAATACCAAATATCGGTAAGAATATGAAGCAAACAGAGATCTCACATACTGCTAAAACAGTGCAACTACTTCGGAAAACTGGTAATTTCTTAAAGAGTTAAATATATACCTGACATACAACCCAGCCATTCCACTCTGAAAAGAAAGGAAAATATACAAATTCATACATGAATGCTCATAGCAATTTCATTCACAACAGCCGAAACCTGGAAACAACTCAAATATCCATCAACAGTGAATAATAAGCAAAATTACATGATATAACCATACAACAAAATACTACTTAGCAACAGAAAGTAACAAATTACTGATATATCCAACTAAATGGATAAATCTCACATACATTATGCTATGTGAAAGAAACTAAGCCCAAGAATACACACTGTATGATTTGACTTATTTAAATTCTAGGAAATACAAATTAACCTACAAAAGTTCCTGAGCCAAGGTGAAGGGAAGCATGGACTGTAAAGAAGCACGCGCGCGCGCACACACACACACACACACACACACACAAAAGAAGCACACAGAAATTTTGGGTAGTGAAGGTACTGCTCTATATTTTGATTGTGGCAGCTTTTTATAAGTTATATACATCTGTCAAAACTTTTTACTATAAACAAAGTTCAATGTACATAAATTATCCATAAGCAAAGTTGACTTAAAACAAACTGAGGGACAGGGCGCCTCAGTGGCTCAGTCGGTTAAGCTTCCGACTTCAGCTCAGGTCATGATCTCGCAGTTCCTAAGCTTGAGCATCGCGTCATCGGGCTCTGTGTTGACAGTTCAGGGCCTGGAGCCTGCTTTGAATTCTGTGTTTCTGTCTCTCTCCGCCCCTCCCCAGCTCATACTCTGTGTCTCACTAAAAAATAAACAAACATAATTTTTTTTTTAACAAACTGAGAGACAGAGTACAGTGGGGAAGGGGCAGAGAGAGGGAAACAATCTGAAGCAGGCTCCAACCTCTGAGCTGTCAGCACAGAGCCCGACACCGGGATCAAACTCACAGACCATGAGATCATGACCTGAACCAAAGTTGGACACTCAACCAACTGAGCCACCCAGGTGCCCCATGACTGCAAATTCTTTACAAAACTTATGCAAGATATAAAATCTCAGACTGAGGAATCACTATAAACCCCCAGTAGATAAAATTAAATCCACACCATGTAATCAAACTGTAGAACACAAACAAGATCTTTAAAACAGAGAAAAACGCAGGTTACCTACAACAAAATAATAGTTAAATGGTGAGCACTGTTCTCAAAAGTAACAAAAAAAGCCAGAATATCAGTAAAATAACATATTCAAAATGCTAAGAGAAAATATTTGGAAGCCTAGTGCCCAGCTAAACTATCAAGACTGAAGAGGAAATAAAGATTTTTCCTAGAAGAGTGTTTACCACTAAACGGCCCTCACTGAAACATCTGAAAGATATATTCATCTCTTTAACATAAATGAAACAAAGTGCAAGAAAGAATGGTGACAAAACAAATAGTAAACATATAAGGGTAAAATTAAAAACTCACTGACAGCACAAAACAATATCGTTGTGGCGCCTGGGTGGCTTAGTCGGTTAAGCGCCGAGCTCAGCTCAAGTCATGACCTCATGGTTTGTGAGTTACAAGCCCCCCATCAGGCTTCTATGCTGACAGCTCAGAACTTGAAGCCTGCCTCTGACCCTGTGTCTCCTCTCTCTGCCCCTCCCCCACTCTAGCTTCCGCCCTCTGTCCGAAATAAACATTTAAAGAAAAAATTTTAGGAGCGCCTGGGTGGCTCAGTTGGTTAAGCGCGGGACTTCGGACTTCGGCTCAGGTCATGATCTCGCGGTTGGTGGGTTCAAGCCCCGCGTCAGGCTCTGTGCTAACAGCTAGCCTGGAGCCTGCTTCAGATTCTGTATCTCCCTCTCTCTCTGACCCTCCCCTGCTCACGCTGTCTCTCTCTCTCTCTCTCAGAAATAAATAAAACATTAAAAAAAAAGAAAAAATTTTAAACATGCTGTTACAATACAACAACAATTATGATCACTTAGAATTATTCAATATTGAAACAGACTGCCTTTGGGAGTGGTATAATTCTTGGAAGTGCTCATTTCTGAGTTCAGACAACACTTTCTGAGAAGTTTAGTATACACTGGGTAAGGGGCTGAAATAAATGACCCCCAATATAGCTACTGACCACAGGGTTTTATCAATTAGGCACAGCTGTCAAAACATTCCTTGATCAGCTCTGTTTAGCCACCTGTGGCAGGGGTTTCCCCATCCTAACAATGCTAGTATTCAAGTATTAATTCAAAGCATTCTTCTCACTTCCATATTCCATAAATAAAGAAGAACACTCTACACAGAAATGTTTCTTATATGAGCTTTCAGGTAAGATCTTCTAGCTTTGGGGGAGTACAGCTTTGGCTTTCGATTAAGATTCAAGAATTACAATTAGTCATCATTTGCTTAAACTTGGCCCAAGAAAAGAGTACTTTGGGAGCTTTTACAGACAAGTATGTGCCTCTTCCTTAAGGGAGGAAATACCATACAAGAAAGAGATGGATGGAATACATACACTAATCCCTGCTGACTGAAAGCGATCTTACTTGATCTGTATGTTCCCTCCAGTTTCCCATATAATCACAGTAGTAAAGATCTCCACAAGGGAACTCCAATTCCCTTACCATCAAGGTTTCTGCCTACCAGAGAGTAACACACAAGACAGTCCAGAACTTCGGAAATACAGGACCAGGCAACAGACACCAGAGAGAGGGAAACACGGATCAAAGCAAGTAAGTATCACATTTTTAGAAGGCAGTCCCATTTCTGGCAAAAAGAACACAGAGGTCCAAAAGCCACTAAATGAAGACAGGAAAGCCAGGCTCCTATTTCCTTTCAGGTCATGAAAGCTCGTTCATTTCAAAGCATACATCAATGGCCATGACATGTCTCACTCATAGCTGCCTAGGCATCAGGATAAAGGGACAAAAGACACAGTCTCCACCAAGAAGGACAAACATACAGACACTCTTCCAATACCAGATGAGAAGCACTCCACCAGAGGTAAGGAAGAGAGCGCACCCAGAGGAGGGAGCATCAAGCCAGTTAAGTTCTTTCCCACCCACAATCTTCACGGTCACTTACAGTCATAAATTTGTACTTTCTAAGAGCTTTCCATGAAACAACTTACCTGGGAGATTGGACCCTAAAAACAACTCACACAGCTCCCACACAGCCCCTTACCCCTCTTCTTATTTAAGCCAACCTTCAAACACTTGGTACAGCCAACCGCGCACTAGCTATGTAATTCTGGCCAAGAAAACATTATAAAATACCGCTAATTCCTATCCTAATAAAGTCTAATAGGAATATTTGGAATATTAAAAAGATGATCCATATAAAGGGTGTGGCACAGCGTCTGAAACGTAGTTGGTGCTCTGAAAATGTTTACTACCAGTATTACTACTGCTATTGTTAAAATTAATAGTCGGAGACTTTCCTGGGACCTCTCGCTCACAAGCCTTTCAGAAACACGCACTACCCCGCACCCGCGTCGTCCTCAGACAGAATTCCACAGTCACGCCCCCAAACAGACTCTCCCCCTTTGCACGCCGGCACCTCTCCTCAGAACATGCGCCCCTCCTCACAAACCTCACCCCCGATATTCTCCCCAGAGTAGGTTATGAAGGAAGCTCTCCCCTCGCACGCGTCTCTCCAACACCCCTTTTAGGCCTGGGCATCCCTGCGAGCGCCCAGACCGAACGCCAGCCGCCAGCCCGCGCCGGTTACCTGGCCGCGCGCTCCCGCAGCGCCTGACGCTCCCCCGGGATCGTCTTCGTTGCGGACTCGCGCCAGCGCTCTGAGCGCACAATTAGTTTAAACTATGGCCCCGCCCCCTCGCACCACCCTCTGATTGGCCTCTGTCGGCTGGAGTTTCACGCAAGGGCACGCTTCAGGACCCGGGAAAAGGAAGTGTGAAGACCACTGGTAGAAGGGGTGTCACTACTTCCGGACGCGGGTCTCGACTTGAGAGCAAAGAAAACTACAAATCCCAGCACCGCCCGCGGCTTCGGAGGCCCGCCTCCGGCGAACTACAGCTCCCGGTAGGCAACACGGCAGCGCTTTCGGCGCTAGGCCGAGTCGCGGTGGCGAGCGTAGTTACTACGGAGTTGGGCTGAGTAAGCAAGGGGTTGTGGGACCTCGAGCTGGAGGGAAAGCCACTGCGGGTGAGTTGGGAGGGGAAACAGGAAATTCGCTCTAGGAGACAATTCGCTCTCTATGGAGAGAGGAGAAACACACAGAAAGATTAAGGAATTTCCTTTCTCGGGGACCTGAGACACCCCCTGCACACACCCTTTACGCCCTTTCCCAACAAACAAGAAACAACGTCCATAGGGAATAGACCGGAGCGGGGAGGGGAGGAAAGGGCGCCGAGATACATGTTAACACAGATTTGGGCCACGTAAGAACATCCCCCATCGCAAACCTGGGCCCCTCTAATACGAATGCTTCAAATCCCGGACACTGGGAGATCTGAAATGCTCTCAGAAAATGGGTTGGCTTTTCCTTTGATGAACTGAGACCTCTTCAAGACATGAGTAAATTACAGGCCCTAATACTGGAGGTACATGAGGCTTGAACTGTCCCTTTCCTTACAAGCAGGAAGTTCATAGAATACAGCTTCCTTCTGAGAGTCAGCAGCATCTTCCCACACACAGTCATTAGGGGTTCTGTCCCTTAATTACCTCTTCTCCCTTCACCTCCACTATGGTCCATTTCTCAGAGTTCTGTTAGTTTCATTCCTTTTAGTCTTCATGATGGATTACGTTTGGCAATTTACCCAGCACTTTCACATCCAGTCTCTTTTGGGGTTTGTGAGTCAAGGATATTCCCATTTTACAGATTGGAAAACTGAAACCCAAAGAGGAGCAGTAACTAGCCTGAGGCCACACACAACCTGCCAGTGACAGCTAAAACTAGATCCCAGTTGCCAAGCTTCCAGCTGGAGTAGGTTAAACTGCCTCAGGGGAAAAGAAGCCTTTGTGGCCTACTTTGGGGTACTTACACTTACACCAGAATGAGTCCAAATCCTTCCTTGGAAGCTTAAATGAGGAAAAGGAACTAGAGAGACTGAAGACAATGGGAATCAAACAGAGTTAATAAAACTAAACAGGAAATAGTCTGGCTAAGGCAACATCCACGTCTGATGCTGCCATGAATAGCTGGCTTCTAGGTGGCTGGTCCACTTACCTTACAGTCTCTCCAGGCTTGGTTCTAGGCCCACTTCACACCTCTGTATTCTCTTTGGTATTTTAATCCACCCCATTTACCTCATGTACACAAGTGTGTGTTCCCAGCTCAGCACTCATCTCTAAGCTCCAGATCTGTATAGCCAATTGCCTCTTCAACATCTTCATGTATCTCAAAGGCAACCCAAACTCAGCACGTCTGCAACTGACCATCTCTCTGTACTCTAAGCCAAGATTTCTTCCCATGTTCTCACCTCTGCCCAACATTACAGAAGCCAAAAACCCAAGAGTTATCCTTAATACCACTTCTATTTCACATCCATCACAAAGTTCTGTTGGCATTACTTCCTAAATAGGACTTCTCTCTGGTCCTAGCTACCATCACATCCTTCCTGCCTTCTTTCCCAACCATTTTGCATGCTGCAGCCAGAGTAGTCCTTCAAACTACAAATGTGATTTTGTTCACTCCCCCCACCCCCATTTAAAAACATACCTTGTGCCTTGCTGTTGGTCTTAGCATCAAGCAACATCTCAGCCAGGCTCCTATCTATCTCTCCAGCCTCCAGTCTAATATGTATATATCCTTCCCTTTCTCCTCTCCAGTTATATGGCCTTTTTGAGGTCTTCAAAATTTCCAAGTAATCTTTCACCATAGAGCTTTTGCACATGCTGTTATTTCTGCCTGGAATGTTCATCTTTGCCCCCTGATATAATTTATACTTATCTTTCAGTTTTCTCACTCACTTATTTGGGAAGGACTTCTCTGACTGCTCAGACTAGGTTAGATCCTTCAATTATACAAGCTCACATCCCTCTCCATTATAGTATTATTCACTATTGCCATTTTTTTCTCTTTATTTTTTAAATGTTTATTTTTGAGAGAGAGAATGAGAATGAAGGGCAGAGAGAGAGGGAGACAGAGGATTTGAAATGGGCTCTGCCCTGACATCAGAGAGTCTGATGTGGGGCTCAAACTCACGAACCATGAGATCATGACCTGAGCCGAAGTCAGAGGCTTAACCAACTGAGCCACCCAGGCACCCTGCAATTTTTCTTTAAAAATTTTTATAGTTTATTTTTGAGACAGAGAGAAACAGAGCATGAGCAGGGGAGGGGCAGAGAGAGAGAGACACACACACACACACACACACAGAATCTGAAACAGGCTCCGGACTCTGAGCTGCCAGCACAAAACCTGATGCGGGGCTCGAACCCAGGAACTGCAAGATCATGACCTGAGCCAAAGTCGGACGCTTAACCGACTGAGCCAACCAGGCACTCCACCCTGCAATTTTTTAAAGTGTTTATTATTTAGAGAGAGAGAGAGAGTGCATGTGTGCACAGGGGAGGGACAGAGAGAGAAGGGAAAGAGAATTCCAAGCAGGCTCCATGCTATCAGTGCAGAGCCCTATGGGGAGTTCAAACCCATGAACCATGAGATCATGCCCTGAGCCAAAATCAAGAGTCAGATGCTTAACTGACTAAGCTACCCAGGTGACCACCATTGTTGTGATTTTTATGTACTGATTAAGCACCTACTACTTGCCACCACTCATAGGCATATGAGAAAAACATGGTTCCTGCCCTGGTGGAGTTTATGGACATATAGGTAGTAAGCAGATAATGTTAGTATTGTAAGAGTGCTACATTGGCAGTAAGTATAGGGTATTATAGGAGTTCAGAAGAAAGTTCCACATCCAAATTGGGCTGTATGTATAGGCTCCTTATAAAAGTTAAAACCTGAGCTGAGCCATAAAGAAGTAGCAAGGCAAAAGGAGAGAGAAACTGTATTTTGAGCATAGGAAGGCAGCCCAGTGGCAGGCACAAGGAACTTAATTCAAATATGTATTTAGCTGGACCGCAGAATTAGAGAGGAGGAGAAGAGATGGCAGTAGAGAGGTAGGCAGGAGAGCAAGGTTGAATCTTGCTTCCCTGTGGCACCTGGGAATATAACCGCCCACTAGATTATGTGGTAGACTTTTCATGACATTCTTTGATTTTTCTTCCACCTGTAGTCCATGAACAGAAACCCCCTCTAGGCCCAGCCATTTCGTCTCTTATCAGATCTGATCTGATTATCCCCAAAGCTTCTTGTGCCATCATGTTGCTACCTACCTGGGAGGGAAGAAATAGGCTAGCAACAAATCAAACTCCAATAGTTAGTAATTTCCAGAAACTGAAAACAAATTTTCATCAACTTGGGATTGGTTAAAGTTAAGTAAATGAAGTAGGATACACACAAGTTCTGTGAAATACTCTGCAGCTATTAAAAGGGTGAGAGTCTACAACATTTTTTTAAGTTTATTTATTTTGAGAGAGAGAGAAAGAGACTGGGAGAGAGGCAGAGAAGGAGAGAGAGAGAGGGAATCCCAGGTAGGCCCCACACTGTCAGTGCAGAACCTGATATGGGACTCGATTTCATGAACCATGAGATAATGATCTGAGCTGGAACCAAGAGTCAGATGCTTAAGAGACTGAGCCACCCAGGCACCCAGAGAGTCTAAAATAATTTAAAAAGAAAAAATACATTGCTAGCTAACACTACAAGGGCAACCATATTTCAGTATAAATGCATCAAATCAACATGTGTAACCTAAATTTACATAATGTTGTATGTCAGTTAACCCAGTTATAAAGTAGAATTTTAAAAATACATTTACAAATAGTACACATTCATTTTTAAATGCTGCATTTAAATGCATTTAAAATGCAGCATTTAGGAGTGCCTGGGTGGTTCAGTTGGTTGAGCGTCTGACTTTGGCTCAGGTCATGATCTCGCGATTCGTGGGTTCGAGCCCCGTGCTGGGCTCTGTGCTGACAGCCAGCTCAGAGCCTGGAGCCTGTTTCAGATTCTGTGTCTCCCTCTCTCTCTGACCCTCCCCTGCTCATGCTGTCTCTCTTTCTCTCAGAAATAAATAAAACATAAAAAAAATTTAAAAAATTAAATAAAAATAGAATGCAGCATTTAGTATAACTGAGAGACTTGGAAGCAATAATAAATGTGTATTGTTTTAAGCTATATGTTTTAAACTATGGTTTTGGATGGTTTATTATACAGTAACAGCTAACTGATACATGCTCCCATTGTACTTTGAACAAAATTTTATCATAAGCCTGTTTCCTCATCTGTAAAACGGAGACAAACCTATTTTGAGAGCTGTTGTATGTATATACACAGTTTTGTATATATGTCTTCTAAGAGGTTATATTCCCAAAGGTTAATCGTGATTGTTCTTGGTAAGATGGAGACTCAGACTTTAGTTTCTACTTGATGTACTTCTCTATGTTGTTTGACTTTATTCAGCTATCATGTTAACTTTTAAAATTAAAAATAAGGTAAAAAACCTTTCCAATTTGGAAGAGAAAAATTCCAAAACAAGGCAAGTGTGCCTCTAAAACTGTCATTTGTCAAGTTCACCTGGATAAACGAGGAAGGCAACTGGGATCTGATTGGGCATGAGGCAGAACAGCAGCTGGGAAAGACAGACTCCAAAAACGCAGGCACTGAAGTGAGCAACGCAGCCTCAGAGTTTTGTCAGTTCTACCCAGCAGCCAGGTTTACTATGTGACACCTGAAGACACTATTCATTCCTTCTTTCATTTTTCCATTATCTATTTGTTCATCAAGCCTTTAGTGAATATCCATTCTTTGGTAAGCTCAGTGCAGAGTAATGGTGGGAAGAGAGAAAGAAGTCTGACTTCTGTCCCTGCCCTTGAGCTTACAAGGAAGGAATAGGAAGTAGTTTATAAAGAAATGTACAAAGAATACAACTGCTTCAATGTATTAAGCACCTGCTGCAGGACATACAACAGCTCTCAAAGTAGGTTTGTCTCCATTTTACAGATGAGGAAACAGGCTGTGATAAAATTTTGTTCAAAGTACAATGGGAACATGTTATCAGTTAGCTCTTGCTGTTAAACAGTCCATCTAAATCCATAGCTTAAAACATGGAGCTTAAAACAATACACATTCATTATTGCTTCCAAGTCTCTCAGTCAGCTATGTTTCTTCTGGTCTTGGCTGGGCTCATTAATGTGTCTGCAGACACTTGTGGATTGTGTGACTATCCTGAACTTGATGTGGTATAAGTTGGCTATTGGCTAGTCTAGGATGGCCTCAGGTGGGAACACTAGCTCTCTGCACATATCTCACCTGCACATTTCTCACATCCCTCCAGCAGCCTAGCCATTTTCTCTTGACACAGGCAAAGAGTGAGAGAGTAACCTCTCTCTTTAAGCTTCTGTTTGTTTCATATTTATCAACGTCCCATTGGCCAAAGCAAGTCATATGGCTGAGCCCAGCATGAGAGTGGATAGAACTACAGAGTTATAGGGCAAAAAGGATAGACACAAGGAAGACCATGAATAGGAACAATCAAGGGAATCAATCTACCACAGGACATAATGACCAATTTTATCTGGAAAGACAGTCTTCAGGCTTCATCAAAGAGGGTACACTAGGCTTGAGAATTGAAACATGAGAATATTTACTAAATAGGCAGCTATTTCTTAGAACTGGATGCAGGCTGGTTTGCCACAATCAATGGAAACCTAGCAAGCTTTTCTGTGCTCATGACAGACAGGGTTCTGTTATTTGCCATCTTGGCTTCATTCCTTCTGGCCAGGTACAGGGCAGCAGGCACGCCACAAATGTTTGCAGAATTGGGTTTCTTACTGTGAAAAAGGTGTAGACTGAAATAGCTGAACCTGGTAGCCAATTAGAAAGAACAGCTTAGTATCAACACTCCCAAAACAGAAATCCTTGTATTTGGCAGTTTCTCATTTGAGTGCCTGTTGTCAGCCAGGTTCTGTGTCAGATGATGAACAGATGATTTAGTGCTAGCTCGCTGCCTGGACTACTTTTTAAATGGAGATTAATAACCCTTTCCCCCTGGCAAATTTATCTAACCACTTGAGGCTCCATTTTTAATACTAACTCATCCAGAAAAATGCATCAGGAGCTGGTTCGTCACGAAATCAGAAGTTCTTAGGAACTGCAGTGAGTGAGGTTCTCTGATGGTCAAGGAAACTAATGATAAAATTCTGCCCTTAAATATACTAAGCTAAAATCCATGTCCAGTAGTGCAGAACTCGGGTCCTAACCCAGAACTTTGAGAAAATTATCCAATCTCTCAAAGGCATCAAACCTGTTGTAGGTGCTCAAGTAAATTGGGCTCCTCTGTCTCAGTAAGAACACAAACCAGGTTCCTGTGTTTCTGGAAAAGCATGTGTTCTTTGTTGTCTGCCTATTGATTTGATACCTAAAATATTCTGGTCTCCCTAATCAACAGTCTGTGCCCACTAGGCCAGTCCCGATTTAATAAGAGAATTCAGCTGTGAAGTGACTCAAGGTGGTGCTTCCACAAAGCTCTGTTGAGACTGCTGCTTTTTGAGAGGAAGATATCATTCATTCTCCATTCTTCTACACATGTGAAATCACCAAAAAAGGAATTTTCTTGAACTGTATTAAGCTGAATTATAAGCTCTCATGTCCATGGTTTTTAAGGGAAATTCCATTTTAAGAGAATGCATGGATTTCATTTTCTGCATATAATCTGTTTGCTTCTTTGAATCAAATGATGAGAACTGCATATCCTAAGCTTTCCCTTTTTACTTTGGCTGCCAGGAATTTCAGAGATAATATAGACTGTTTCCTAACTGTTTGGTACATCTCTCTCCTTTCTTCTTTAATTTGCCTTCTAATCTTTCTCTTTCATGTTTCCATTTCCTACATCTGCCCTGTCCAGTCTGGTTGCCACTAGTCACCTCTGGCTGTTGAGCACTTGACAGGTAGCATGTCCAAACTGGGATGTGCTCTGTAAGTGGTAAAATGTCTCAATTATTAATAGTAATTATATGTTGAATATTTTGGATATTTGGGTCAAATAAAATAGATTAAGCTTCATCTGTTTAACTTTTTATGGCTACTAGAAAATTTTAAAGTACATACTTGAAAAAATTATGTACGTCGCCTGAATTTGCAGTGTTCATTATATTTCAGTTGAACAGCTCTGTTCCATAAATCATCCTGTTTAATGCATGTGTTGTTGTTGTAAACTACCTTAAATTCTTCTGGAAAGCAGATGAAGTATAGTAAATGCAAAGGTGGTGATGGCAGTGGATGAAATGAGGAAGAGGAGGCTGACTGGGACATGCACTGGTTAGTCTGTCTGTCTTTTGTTTGTATGTGTTACATACAAAACCCCTTGGTAAAGTGTTTTCAGCTGTCTCCTTCCCAGGTGAGTAGTATTCTCATGGTTCTCCCCAATTTCTTGAAAATTTCTCTGCTTTACTTGAGTTCATTAGAATTGGAAAGGATCTGATAAAACAATTCATATCATATTGTAAATGACTAATAACATTGTGTTCATCCCCCTCAGGGGGTATTTCCAGTTTAACAGGGAACAATCACTGAACCCAAAGGAATGAATCCCTAATGGTGGAGTTTCAGGCATCAGTGACAGGTGAGTGACTGAGATAGACTCTAGTTTTACGTGTATGAGTTTATATACATATGACTGTATTCAGGATGAGGCTGAAAATAGGGTCTTTGAATGGAAAGGAAATGGGACTGACAGACAAGCTGAGCAGAGATAACAAATCGCCAGCTTGGTCAGACTGCAAGGGCTGTCAGACACCAGATCCAATGCAGGCACTCGGGAGTTTGTTAAACAATAGAATAGCCCAGTTGATGTCACCAGAGGGTAGGTACCAAGACAGCCTCCATGGTAACTACTATGGAGTAGCACAAAGGGCTCAGAGTAGGATTCAGGAGGCTATGATTGCAGTCCATAGTGACTCACTGGCTTAACTTTGGGCAAGTACGTTCATCCTGGGGTCTTAGTTTCTTTGTGTGGAAAGTAGAAACAGGTATTACAATTATCAACAAGCTCTAAGGGATGTAAAGGTGCTCTGAGAAGTAGGAAGTTGCCCTACAAATGGAAGGAATTGTGCTTAATATCTTAAAACAGAAATGCAGTCAGGCAAGCCTAGAGTGGTAGAGGGTAGAAAGCAAGGGTAGGGGGCTATGGGGATACCGGAAGGCCTGTGCCCCTTGTATCTACAACACCAGTCGTTCTCCGTCCTCTCAGGCTGAACCCAGACTCCGAGGGCCAATGCTTACACCTGGCAAACGATGGCCTGAGCTATGAGCAAAGAGGACTATATGAACACTTCGGTGCAAGAGCCCCCTCTTGACTTTTCCTTCAGAAGCATCCACGTGATCCAAGGTCAGCCTACAGAGCACAGCACTCCTCTCACCATGGCAACAGGCTGGATATGGTCCCCAGGGAGAAACCAGTCTTCTACTTAAAAGCCTAAATTCCTGCATGCTTGAAGATTTTGTTGTTTGGGGGAGGAGTAGGGGATAGGGAAGTGGTAGAAGTGGGAGGGATAATTGATCATCTTTGAAGGAAGCCAGGCTACAACAGTAAAGTCAGGCGTAAGAAAATTGGGAAACCAGTCTATCAGCCAATGGTTTTATTCTCCTGTTTTTACCTGAAGAGAGGAAGAAACTAATGAAAACACAAAGAGAACCCTCTCTCCTCTGAGGACACAAGCCTATTCTGATCACTGGTAAAACATGCAAGGTCTCATTATTAACAATGGGCATGTTTCCAGTTTAAATATTTATAGACAAATCTCTTATATTCATTCCAGTCATATCCAAGTTTATTCCATCGTCACCCACACTTAGTGCAGGTTCCAGCACTGCCCATGCTCATCCCCATTTTATTATTCAACGTCCTTGTAAATAGGTGGCTTATACTCTTCAAGAAGGGACAAAGAGAGAGAGAGAGAATCATTCTCAGGAGAATATGCTTCTTCCCAAGGGAGTTCTGCTGTCCCTAGATTTTGCTGTCTGCTCTCACAGAATACATGCTGGCATCCACATATTCTAGACCCAGTATCTGGCTTTGGTTTTCTCGCACAGGCAATTGGTGGCTACTTTTAAGCTCAGGAAAAAGGCAAATAGTTATCCAGGAGGTACTGGCCTTGGCTTGTGTATTTAGGGTACTACTGGGTTTGCACAGCCACATTGGTAACTCATGTTCTGTCATGGACATACACTCACCTACCGTGATCTTTATTGGGCACTGCACCACTCCTTTTATTAAAAATTTTAAAATGTTTTATTTATTTCTGAGAGAGAGAGCCAGCATGAGCAGGGGATGGTCAGAGAAAGAGGGATACACAGAATCTGAAACAGGCTCCAGGCTCTGAGCTAGCTGTCAGCACAGAGCCCAATGCGGGGCTCGAACCCACGTACTGTGAGATCATGACCCGAGCCTAAGTCGGATGCTCAACCGACTGAGCCACCCAGGTGCCCCGGCACTGCACCACTCCTAATTGATGTAGTCTGTGTTTCACAAGGGTTTGAGCTATAATGGTCATGTATAAGATAGCTGAGGTGACAGATGAAGTTAGAAAGTATGGCTCTTGCTTTCCCTGGGAATTCTCAGCTCTGAGCGGGGAATAGCTTTGTCCTCTCTGGAACCCTCGGAATAAGGGGATAATCTACTACAACCAAGGATAACTCCACAGCACATACCATGATCTGTACAGATGCCCTCTCTTTCATTCAATCATTAAATCTTTACTGAGCACCTATTTAGTAAGCACATGTGTATATATACATGCCAGGCATTGTGCTCCTTGCTGTGTTGTAAGAGGGAGAAAAGGAGAGGCACATCTAAGCCCCAAAAGGCCCTCTGGTTCCACAGAGCTTGTGGAAAGAGTTTAGGAGTACTTGATAAGCTATTTGCTGAAGTAATCAATAGATGGATCATAGACTCTGAAATGGCAGGGAATTTAGGCCACATCCAACCCAAAGTCCTTTACTTCTGCTCATGAACCTGCAATGGTAAGGGAGTCCCCTATGACACTCACTTACCAACCCCTCCCATTATGAGGTGAGAAATGATGCAAAGAAGTCATCATCAAACTAGCTCCCATCCTTTAGGGACAAGTGAAAAAGTTGCACAGCAACCCTTCAGAGCAAGGAACACAGGATCACGTTTCCTCCGGTCTCCCTAGGGCTAAACATTCCACTGTTCTTTGGGCACTGATATTTGTGGTCCATTTTCCAGACCTTCCTTGGCCTACTGTGAACAAGGCAGCTTCAACAGATCCTCAAGCAGTGCACTACGCTGGTGGAGTCTGAAGGAACAGAAGCCTGTGGCAGTGGGATACCCCATTCCACCCTTAATACCAGCAGCCCCAAAGGGTGCCTTGAGTTTTAGGAAGCACAGTCCTGCTAGTGGCTACTTCTGAGCTGGAGATCAGTCCATGCTTGGTGGCATTCCCTAAGCTGCTGCCTCATCAGATTAGATGCTAATGTATATGTGGGTTTATTTTAACTCTTTAATTCAGCTGTGTCATTTCATTGGGGGTTCTCGGGATATGGGGGGACAGGATAAGGAGTTTATTCATGAGTTCTGGAGCACCCTGCTCCAGTCCCGTTCTGCCATCTCCCCCTCCCCCCAGCCTCCCCCCAACTTCCTGCTCACTCCCCCATAAGGCAGAGAGCCATCTAGTGGATGCTCCTGGATGTGCAGCTGAGGAGGAGAGGACGTTAACACTGGGAGGAGGGGATGGGAGGGAGGAAGTGTGTCCAGTGAGACCTGAGGAGAGTGACAACAGCTGGCCAGGTTCAGCAAAACCTAAATACTTAACTTCCCCTGAGCCAGGTATAGACAAGTAATGAAAGGCTTAGGGAGAACAGGAAAAATATAGTTACCTTAGCCATAGCTGGTATCTGGTTCTGCCACCATGAGTTTGGGCAGGGCCCATCCTCTCCATGGACCTCATTTGTTAAAACGTGAGTGGGGGCCTACACAGATGGATTGTAACATTACTGTGTTCCCTGTTCTCTCTCCTTGGCCTAACTGTCTGAGAGTGTTGTTTACACTACTTGCTTATATTTCTTCAACCATCCATTCACCCTTGAACCCAATCCAATCTAGCTTCTGTCCCCAGGCCCTAGTCATTTTATTGAAACAGTCCTCAACAAGGCCACAAGGGGCTTCTGAGTTGCCGAAATTATTTTCCAGTCCTTATTCTCCTGAAACTCCTTATAAACTATAGACTTCCCGAGCTATCTTCTTGTGGTTCTCCTTCCCTGATTATTCATTACTATTTAATAGATTCTCCTTCCTCCTTGTCCCTCCTCTCTACCCTTGCTCTCTGAGTGGAATCTCATCTATTTCTCTAACTTGTACAACCTTCTATGCTAACGATTCTTGTCTGTCTCCTGAGCTTCAGACGTTCATATCCAGCTGCCTACTTGGCTTCTCCACCTTTCTATGCTACAGGAACCTCAGACACACACGAAGGCTAAGCTTTCCAGCCCGTTTCTTTCTGATTCCTTATCAGTCACACAAACAAGAAACTGGGCACTACCCTTGATTATTTTCTACTCTTATATCCAGTCAACCATCAAGTCATGGTAATTTTCTGTTCCACTTCATCTTTTGCCTGGATGACTGAAAGAGCTACATTTATCTTCAGTCCCATTCAACTAAAGTTTCAGAATGATCTGTAGGATGCCTGGGTGGCTCAGTCAGTTAAGCGCCGACTCTTGATTTTGGCTCCAGAGTAAAATCATAGCTCTTGTTATCAGGCACCAACTGTGCCTTGTGCTGGGTTCTTTTGTTGAAGAGGCAGCTAGACCACAGCACTGATTTTCCATGAACTCAGACTCAGATTTTAAGAAATAAAGTTTCTTATCCAGGATTCCTATCTCACAGTTCATGAATTCAAACCCCACGTCGGGCTGAGCACTGGCAGTGCAGAGCCTGCTTGGGATTCTCTCTCCATCCCTCTCTTCCCCTCCCCCATATTCACATGCTATCTCTTTCTGAAAATAAATAAACTTTAGGGGCACCTGGGTGGCTCAGTCTGTTAAGCTTCCGACTTCGGCTCAGGTCATGATCTCACAGTTCGTGGGTTTGAGCCCCATGTTGGGCTCTGTGCTGACAGCTAGCTCAGAGCCTGGAGGCTGTTTCAGATTCTGTGTCTGCCTCTCTCTCTGACCCTCCCCTGCTCATGCTCTCTCTCACAAGTAAATTTTTAAAAAACATTAAAAACAAAAAACAAAAATAAATAAACTTTAAAAAGAATGAGGGACTCTTGGGTGGCTCAGTTGGTAAAGCATCCAGCTTCGGCTCAGGTCATGATCTCATGGTTCCTGGGTTCAAGCCCTGCCTTGGGCTCCCCACAGTGTGGAGCCTGCTTGGGATTCTCTCCCCGCCCCCTCTACCCCTCCCCCATTTGCACATGTGCACTCTCTGTCTCAAAAATAAATTAAAAAAAAAATCTTCTATGTTGAAAGATTTGAATCATCTCATTTGCTTAAACCCTCCAGTAGCTTCCCATTGTCCACAGGATAAAGTCCAAAACACTCAGCCTGGCATTCAAGGCTCCTTATCTTTTTCCTCCTTGCCCATCGTGTGCAGCACATGCCCATGCATACACATGTTCCACACCTCATGCCTCTGCTCCTGTCATGTTATTCTCACCCTTTCCACCCTTTGCTTAGTTAATGTCTCCTGATCCACTGAGCTCCATTGCAGGTTTCAACTTCCCTGAGTTTCCAGACTAGGTTAGGAGCCCCACTTTGTAATTCTGTCGCTGTTATGTTGCCAGCCTGTTTTCATCTTGCCCAGATGAGCTCCTCCAAGGCACAACTGCTTCATCCCTACGCTGTTACTCATACAGAGTTTGGCATAGATGATCCCCTCATTTTGCTTACTGCTATATATCCAGTATCTGGCACATACACAGTTGCTCAACATTAATGCGAGAGAGAGGACATTAGAGTGTGTTGTACTGAAGCGAATGCTATGGGCTCCACCAGTGGATAAGTCTAGATTTTGTGCTATCATCTTGGCTCAAGTATGACAACTCTAGTTCTTAATTTCCATAAAATTAAGAGTGATTTTGCCTCCCTCACCCCTTCAAACGAGGATGGTACACAGAAGACCCAATGATATGATAGACATGACGGGACCATGTGACCTAAACCAAGAGTTTGGGATGGGAAGTCTTTGACGCTCAGTCCAAGCTTATTCGGATTCCTGGGGCCTTTGGGACGGGGTCCTGGACTAACCATTGGTAGAGTCATACTAGACTCAAGCATGAGGCTATGGTCCTGCCAGGCCCTCCTGCTATAGCTTACACCCAGCTCTGTCCCTTCCCGAGCCTAAGACAAAAAAGCAAAGATGATAACCCAAGTCTCACTTTGTCCCCACAGATCTGACAAGCGAGGAGCCAAGAACAGGGCTACGACCACTAAGGCACTCAAAGTCAGGGAAGTCTCTGACCCAGTCCCTGTGGCTGAACAACAATGTCCTCAATGATCTGAAAGACTTCAGCCATGTGGTTTCACTGCTTCTGGAGCATCCAGAGAACCTGGCCTGGATTGATCTGTCCTTCAACGACCTGACTTCGATTGACCCTGTGAGTACCCAGCCCTGTGAGTCCAGTCAGGATGGACCTGATCCCACCTTGTCTAGCTCCCAGCCTCTCTACTTCCCACATATTATCAAAGAAATAGTGAGGCAGTGTGGTGCAGTGCAAGTACATGGCTGTGGGCTCAGACAGATGTAGGTTCAAATCCTAGATCTTACTGTGTGACTTTGAGCAAGACACCCAACGTTTCAAAATATCAGCATCCCTGTCTGAAAAAATGGAGAGCATATGCCAGCATCATAAAGCTTCTGTGAAAATTAAATGAGAATTATGAAAAACAACTGGCATATAGTAGGCTGCAATAAAATCATAGCTCTTGTTATCAAGCACCCACTGTGCCCTGTGCTGAGTTCTTTTGTGGAAGAGGTAGCTAGGCCCCAGCAATGATTTTCCATGAACTCAGACTCAAATTTTAAGAAATAAACAGAACTGACCCTTTTTTTTGGTCCAGGATCCCTATCAGACGGAAAGCAGCTAAAGCATGACTTGGAAACTATTCCCCACGTGTAGTGATCCCAATTTTTTAACTATTTGAAAGCTTCTATTATGTACCTAGCATGATACTCTGTATCCCTGTCCCGTGTTGTGAAAGAATCTTAGATCACCAGAGCTGAAAAGGCCTTCAGTGTAAGGCCAGCTAAGTCTTGGGGAGAGGCAAGAAAGCCTGGCAAGTCAGTGGCTATGGCTGCACCCAGGCTCTAGCTCCTGCCCCTTAGATCACAGCTCTGTGTCAATGTGATGCTCCTGTCCCCTTCACTGTTAAATAAAAAGTAGATTGGAGTTTTCTACAGTGGCTGCAGGCGGATGGCAGAGATTGGAAATCAAGCTGTTTCTCAAACTCTTCCTTCTTTGCCCACAAGCCAGTCCTGAGCACAGAGCCAAGGCCCTGTCCATTCTGGCTTTCGGTTTCCTTCCCCCAACAGGTCCTGACAACTTTCTTCAACCTCAGTGTCCTCTATCTCCATGGCAACAGCATCCAGCGCCTGGGAGAAGTGAACAAGCTGGCTGTCCTCCCTCGCCTCCGGAGTCTGACACTCCATGGGAACCCCGTAGAAGAGGAGAAGGGGTATAGGTGAGTGCCCTGCCCCTGGAGCTGGGCTCCCCTAACAGGGAAAGGAGGTGGGAACATACAAAATCCAACACCATCATTCTGCCATGTTGGGACAGGGAAAGGAGTAGAGACCTTTAGGCATTTCATGCCTATCAGGAGAAACTCTGTCTTCCCCCAAATTATACTTAGGGAAGATAGTGGCAACTGGTGGAGGGGGAAGGAGGTTCTGGTGCAGGGCTGGCCCCCAGCCCGAGTCTTCCCCACAGGCAATATGTGCTGTGCACCCTGCCACGTATCACCACATTCGACTTCAGTGGGGTCACCAAGGCAGACCGCACCACGGCTGAAGTGTGGAAGCGCATGAACATCAAGCCCAAGAAGGTCCGGATCAAGCAGAATGCACTCTGAGGTTCTCAGGTCCCAGCAATCCTGAAGGCCAGAGGATGGTCAGTTTGGTTTAACAATAAACGATGCAAGCAGTTGAGCAGGTGTGGAGTCTCCCATATCATGTAAAAATGTCCTCCAATTCAGGCAACTGCCAGTAGTTCCAGTGTTATTTCGCTGAAAGAGGGAGGCAGTGGAGGAAAAGGCCTGCTGGCCTGGGATGGAGGGAACCTGGCTTTACTATATGGCCTTGGGAGACTTACCTCACCTCTCTGGGCCCTTTCTTTACTCTTCAATTCAGATATCCTGAGGTTAGAGCTGCTTCACAGAGTGCCAAGTTGTCTGTGGAGATGCCTCAGAGATGACAGGCTGTGATCTTTGAACCCAACTTCACTCAAATCAGGGTACTTCTGCTGTCTTACATGTTGGGATTTTGCTTGAGATTTCATTTGATAAAGGGAATCTTCTGCTTGAAGAAAATACTGGCTTGCTGGCTCCATATCAAGTATTCTTGGTCTGCCTTTATCCCCCAACCCTGGGCTTGTTGGTAATTCCACTGAACTTGAGGCAGGGCCCCCAACAGCAAGAGCTGCCTCGGAGTCAAGTTTGTTCAGCTTTGACAGTGTTCCCATCACCAGAGAAGGGACAAGTACAGTCTTATCCCATCTGAGGTTAGCCCAGGCCAAGTTCCGGCTAAGACCTGGGAACTCTGAACCCTTATCTCCTGGATTCTTCTTAGAAACATCCCCCTCCCCCTCATCCAGCTCCCTGCTCACAGACCAGAAGGAGTACCAGGGTGGTGGGCAGGACAGACAGGCGCAACCAGCACACAGATGAATACACTTCCTTTATCGAGGGTGACAAACCAAAACAAAACCCCAAACATGTAAAAACCCAGGGTGCTAGATATACAAACTCAATTCATTCAAATTCAAGCTCGTCCAGACCCTGGTCACAAACCCTAGTGAGGTGCATGTGAGCACCAAGTCAGGGAGAGGGGGGCAGGAGTGAGGCCATGAGAAAGGGTGGGAAGGGGGCCCCGACACAGGCCCCCTAAGGATCACCCTCTCACAGTGGTATCTCCACCTTCCCAGTGACAGTGAAGACCTACTAGGCCCTAACCTTTTGACCCCCCACCCCATCCCTGGCCAGGGCTTTGAACGCCAGTCCCAAATGGTTCTACCCTCCCTTGCTCCATCTCACTTGCTCAGGCTTCCAGCCTTCCAGCTTCTTCTCCTCCTCCACACTCTTCTCTGTGATTAGTAGCAGGTTAGGGTACTGTATGAGCCGCAGTGAGGCCGGGGGCCAGGAGAGGCAGGGTGGAGATGGGTGAAGAGAGGAGAAGAAGAGCTGTCCAAGGATCCCTCTCTTCATGGGATCCCAAACTGTACAACCAGCTCCTCTTTTGCATCCACTCGGATCTGAGAAAGTGCACTGTAGGCATAAGCAGCTATCCTGGAGACCTGAGACAGAGGGACCAGGGAGGAGAAGAAAAGAGAGAGGCAGTGAGAGGGGAGATCCAGAAAGCCAGGGAGGTGGATTGGGTGGGGAGAGAAGAGGGGATGATGGGGGATAGAAAGCCAAAGAAATATGCAAGGATGGGAAAGACGGAAAAGAACACAGGGGAGAAAGAAAGAGAACAAAGGTGGAGAGATAAGAGTGAGCAAGGTGCTTGAGCTACCAGGCTCCTTAACTCCACTTTCCTGCTGCCTCTGAGACAGAGAGGGTGAACTCTCTGCCACAGCCTAGGCAGCACAGGAAGGATGGGCAGGGGGTCCAGGGGGTGGCTCACCTGCTGTAAGTCGGAGAAGGGGATGGGCTCGCTGGCCAGCACTTGGTGGGGCTGGCTGGTGAGAGACGGCAGCGGTGGCAGCTTCTTCCAGTGGGTCAGGCTGCTGCTCAGCACAGCCAAGCGGGTGCTGGCCAAGAGGGAGGATGGGGTGGGCAGTCAGGCCAGTCTGCTCTGTCTTGTTGAGCCCAGCCCAGGCAAATCTCACTCCCTCAGGCCAGAGAAGCCGGGTGACAGTGGCCTCCGCTCACCAAATTCACTCCAGGCCCACCTCCCTTAGCCTCGCACCCTTGAGGGCCATGGGGCAAACACGGCTGACATGAACATCTGCTGAGGTACTGGAGAGATTTGTCTTCAGTCTCCTGGGCCACACCCAAACAAGGAGCTTGGACTGGGGCTCGGATTGCAAAGCTGGATAAGGGATGGAGAGGCAGGGAGGGACCCAAGTAGACTGAGGTGGGGAACCAAGCTGGCCAGGTCTTACCTGTACTGCCTTGCCCGGTCCATGTACTCATGCTGCTCCATGCCCTGGGAGTCCGCAGCAGACACGTCAATGATGTTGCTTTGGGGAGAGGAGGCAGAGGGAACACGATAGGTGCTTCAAGAGGGATACACAGGACTCACTGCCAAGTCCCAATTCCAGGGCTATCTGACACCAGTGTCCCTGCCTCCCCACTGGAGCAAGGCCGGATCTAGAGGCACCTCTCACTGCTGACCTTGTCCCATCCTCCATGTCCTAGGCCTAGTCCATCTATCCCAGCCTTTAACATGGATGGAGAAAGCTCTGCCCAGGCTTGGTCCTGTGATGCTCACCTGGCTGTCTTAGCAAGGATGGAGGAGAGCAGGGCCTGCTCATCTGTGCGAGTGGAAGGCAGGCTGTGGTAGTTGGGCTCAGCTCCATTGAGGGCTTTGGTAGGGGGGCTGCTAGGGTCCAGCAGCAGTTTCCGCTCCTCTCGGTCCTAGGAAAGGCCATGGGGGAGAAGTCAGCCCTGGAGCCTTTACTTACTTACTTATTTGAGAAAGAATGTTCATGCTAGCAGGGGAGAGGGGCAGAGAGAGAGAGCCAGAGGATCTTAAAAAGGCTCAACACTTAGCATGGAGCCTGATTTGGGGCTGGAGCTGATGTGGGGCTTTTACCACCCTGGGATCATGACTGGAGACAAAATCAAGAGTCAGATACTCAACCGACTGAGCCACCCAGGCACCCTAACCCTGGAGCCTTTCGTCCAACCTGCCTTTCTTGGGCTCTTCTTTCAGCCCAGCTCTGACTTTTAAACACCAAAAAATATCCCAAGTGCTAAAGTGTATGGAATGTCAGATAAGGCTCAGTCCTGCCTGCCCTTCGGAGCTCAGCTGAGTTGTAGGTCTAGGATCAATTAAAGTAGATCCAAGCAGCCCTAGAGGCCCCGAAAAGGTGGAAAGAAGCACAGAGCATGTACTCAGTAACTACTCTGGAGCTTCAGAAAATAGTGTAGCACTTGATGGAGAAGGAACATTGGGAGCCGAAGCCAGAGGACTGAGGTCTAGAAACTGAACGAAGTTAGGAGCCCAAGAATGGCCCTCCTGATCCCCCAGACCAGGTCCTTCCCAGAAAGGCTGTCTGCTCCCAGGACGGAGGCCTGGTGAGGCCAGACAATTATGTTCCTCATATAATCTCAGGGCAGGAGTCAGCCTCCAGGCCACACAATCTAAACGTGCCCCTTCTTGAGGGCAGGTCCCTTCTACTCTCAGGTGTTCACTCTCTTCTAATGCTTTCTTTGTATATGACTCCCAGAACCAAACTTGGTGCACTTGGTGAAACCAGACCCAAACAGTGCAGCTGTTCCCTCCCTTGCCAAGTCACCACACTTCTATTTGTGTGGTTCTGTTAATTTTCAGTAGTCTTGTTAGTGCTAGCTTAGGCAAATGATCACAACCCCCAGAACTAACATGGGGCCAAACTACATCTCCCTGATCCTACACAATTCTGTATTTCTCTTTGTCCTATTCCAGCCCCTTACTCTAATCTATTGCGGTCTCTCTGAATACAACCCTGCCTTGAGCCTATCAGCTGCAAATCCCTGCTGGCTTTATGTCAGCTGCAAATTGGATAAGCAGACCTGCTGGATATCTATCCAAGCCATAAAGAGCAAGGGTGCCCAGGACAAAGTCAAGGACAAGGGAGCCCATCCTGCCTAATGTTGACTCACCAACCCTCAGTGCCAGACCACCAGTGCTCCACAGACCTTCCCACTGTGGGCTCCCAGTTCCCCGCCCACAACTCCACAACTCTCCTTACAAAGGGCCACTTCCTCCTGCCCGTCTGCCCCACCCTAGGCAGGCCCAGCCCTTTCACAATACTCTTCCTTCTCAAGCCTAGGTTACCCAAGTGTCTACAGTTCCCAACAGCATGAGACAGAAGCTGTGGGATTCTGCCCTATCACCTCCCAATTCGCTCCTCCTCCTCCTCAAGTATTCAATGGCTAGAAGGACAAAATGCTTGCTAAAGATCAAACTATCTCTAAGGAAAGCTGGCTCCATAATGAACACTGAATTTGCTTCCTGTGTGCCATCCTTCTCCCAGCCCTACTTCAGATAGATCTTTCTGTAGAACAGGGCAGACCCTCTTGTCCCCCACCTCTATCAGGGATTCTTCAAGAACAATGTTGTTTTCCTGAGACCTAGACTCCCAGAAGAGGCCAGACTACCCCCAATCAGAGTGAACAAATAATATCACCCCACCCCTAAGGGCAAGTGGAGCATGGAGGAGGTGTTTCACACCAATGTTTGTCCCTTGGTCAGTGTCAACCCACGAGTCAGGCTTTTACTGTCTACTGTAGCACAGACACATATACATGGTCTGCCCATGACTAGTCACCTGGTCTATGGGCATAGCTGAAAAAAACAGCTTGGCCCAATGGATAAAGCACATGACTTGGTATCAAGATACTTTGACTATAGCATTACTCAGCTTTGTATCTTTGGCTATATATCTTAGCCTCTCTGAACTTTTTCCTTGCCTTTAAGTACATAACTTGCACCTATATGACAAACTTGGCAAAAGTCAAATGAGAGAACTATAAAAGGCCTTTGAAAATGTGTCATTTATTTCTTTTTACTGTAACAAAGGAGCAGAGATTAAACTGGGGGAGGAGCCTGCCCAAGAGCTGAGAAAGGGACTTTGGGATAGTGAATGGCCACACAAAGGCTCAAGTCACTGAGCACTGACTGAGCACCTCTCAGGGGGGTTAGAAACAGAAGTGAGAGCCTGTCAAGAAGATGAAAGTTCAGGAGAGCAACAAGCCCAGCTCTCTCAGCTAGAAGCTGGTACCCTTTCTTAGAAGGCACTAACCCTTCTTGACTCATTGCCTGCAAGAGTTTGTGTTATCCTTTAGGGGACAATTTCCCATTGGGCCATGGTTTTCCCAGTGGGTAGGAATACGGTCTCCTCTAAGAGGCTGGTGTGAAGTGAGGGGTAGTGGACATGAGGTATGCTTAAGGTGTAAGGCACAGAAAATAGGAGTATGTGTTCATTGGGGGTTTGGAGAATTAATGAGGCCCAGGAGATATCCATGCCTCTCAAACAAATGACATTTTCCTCACCTTAAGTTCTTAACCCAAAATAGTTTCATATGAGTCATTGGGGAAAGACCTACTTCCCAAATATCAATAATATAACCCACTTCTGTGACCATCTCCCCATCAGACTGTGAGCTATCTGCTGAAATCCTTCTATTGTTTGCATGTCTAGAATGTGTTGAAATGTTGAACCCAAGCTTAGAGCCAAGAGCTTGAGACTTCATCCTTGGGAAGGTCTCCCCACTCCTAAAAGGAGATCAGGTAGGTAGGGCAGAGATTAAGATGTGGGGGGAAATGAGAATGCACCAAGGGTAAGAGGGAGAACTTAAAACTACAGTCTTCCCAGCTTAATCCTTTCTGCAAAGGGATCAGGTCTACGGTCAAATTCCCAGGACAAGCACCCCTCTAGCTAAAGGAACCCTCGGGCCCCAAGCAAAAACTGCACCGAGGCAGGCCAAACTGAACTCCCATCCCATCTTTCTAATCCAATCCAGCCAAAGCAAAACCCTCTTTGTTGCTTCCCCAAAACGTCTTGATGTCATGGTCTCTATTAAACTCTTTACTGGTCAACTCAAATGCCACATACTTACAGAGGCCTTCTCTGACCCTAAACCGCAGTGACCTTCCTTCTCCAACCCCAAGGGCTGAGAGCATACACAGATTCCTGATTCATGTTAGGACAAACTAACTCTGAGCCTCAGTTTACCCATCTCTAGAATGGATTCACAAAGCCAGCTCACACAAGCACAAAAAAAGCACAGGAAGGTAGGAAGACAGTGTTTCCCAAGGACCAAGGCTGAGGATTCTGAAGTCTATAAAGGTTTAAAGACAGGATAACATGAAAGGGGTGGGAGCGAGAGGGGCAGACGGCTGCCTGCACACCCCAAAGCAAAGACTGTGTAGAGAAAGCTGGGGCTTTAACAGGAGTAGGAGTCTGGCCGAGCGTCCCCTCCGTAATCTGTCCCCTCCCGGCCTCCGTACTAGGTGAGCCCCACAGCCCCGCGCTGTTGCAGGCTTTTTCTGGGCCCCACGCCCTAGCCTCTCGACCCCCATTCCCGAGCCTCGCCCGCCGCGGCCGCACCTGGTCCGAGTCCTCGTTCTCGCTGCTGTAGCAGCACCCCATGGCCGGGGTCGGGCCGGTCGCTCAGGCCGCGCCGAGGAGGGACGGCGTCCGTCGGGAGCCCTTCCGGTCACATGACCCGTGGCTGCATCCAGCGAGCAGCCACCCGCTTCCCCGCCTATCCTTTCCAAGAGCCCCGCAGCTGCTGCCGCAACCCTGGCTTCCGGCCCCGCCTCCACCGCATGATCATCGCCGACCAATGGGAGGGCTCACCTCGCTTGACAAGACGCGAGGCACGTGACGCGATGAAAGGGAGGGGCGGGTCACATGACTTCAGCCTCTTCTCAGTGTTGGAGCTCGAGTCTTCTGCCGCTGGCTAAAGAGGCCCTCGTGATGTGTACTGTGCGGTCGCGTGGCTGCCAGGCTATCTTTCAGGGCCAGTGAGCGAACTTCTACCAATGTTCCCGTAAATGCCATGAGAGGGGCGGGTGGGATTCAGGCCCTCCGCTCCTAGAGCACAGTCTCCGTGTACAAACACTGGACCCAGATGCCCAGCGCCAAGTTGGGGGGACACATAAAGACTGTGGCCCCCAACGGAGTTCTCAACCTGTACTGGGGATGGGAGACATACTGGAAGAAGAGCTCTTACTCCTTCACAAGCCAAAGCTGAGCAGAGCTCAATCCTGGAAGAGAGAGGCAGCCATGCGGTCTCTTTGCCTTCTGGCATTTCTCTTCAGTCTTGCTTGCTTTTTTTACATCAACTACAGTGATCCTAATTCACAAAGCTGACCACCAGTTCGTTTCTTAGAACCATCCCATATCTTCCCTTGGACTCTCAACACAAGTCCAAGTCTGTCATTCAACATCTTACAGACACCTGTCTCCCTTTTCAGCACTGGGGTCGTGGGGTTGCTGGTAATGATGGTGGTGATGCAGGGGTTGGAAATATTTGCAGTTTCCTGATTAACCACCTAGACTTTCCACGTGTTGGCACACCACCTCCCCACCAGGTCTGTCCTCAGGCCTCAATACAAACAATACCCTCCTGATTGCCATCTCTGACCCTGTTCTTTGGGCATCCCCAACTCCCTGTGCTTAATCCCTATTCCACATAGCTCCATTCATTTATCGAATCAAACAATTACTGTCTGTGATGTGCCACACACTGTTCTGTCTAGATATACAGAGGTTCACAGAACAGCCCAAAGTCCCTGTGTCCATGAAGACTTGCATATTTTATTCTGTTTCTGGATCAGTCTCTTCCACTAAACTTGGGAGCTCCCGGAGGAAGGGGAGAAGACCTGATTCCTCTGTGACCCACACACTGGCATTAACTTAAACAAAATTTGAATTTTGAATTGAGTAAATTACAGCATCCTAGTTCCTTGGCTCACACCATGACCCATGTCCTGATACAAGGAATTGGAGGAGAGGTCACTAAACCCAGTAACTGTTATCACCCCTCATATCAAGACCCTGGGGTTCTGTAAATTTAGGGCTCATGAAGGGTTGGAGTCAGCCCCACCTTGTTCCTGCAGCTAGTAACTTGAACTGCAGGTCTCAGGTAACAGCAGCAGCTTCTGCATCAATAATTGAGAGCAGGTCCAGCCTGCCTCAGAGTCCTCTGGCCCCAAGGCCTCCCCCTCCTGGTCTAGGCTCTGATCTTCCCCAAGCAGAAGTCTCCAGCCCAGGTAAGCAGGGCTCTTGAGTGTGGGTTCCCAAGCATACCAGTTCAAACTCACTAACACTTACCTACTCACATCCATTTATATACTCTTACTTTCAATTTTAGTCCCCACCATCACCAGGGACACAAGGGTTAGATCTGGAGGAAGGCGTGGATGGTTCACAGTATGAAAGAGAAAGCACTTATCCCCCTTAGGGATAGAGCCTGGGAGAGGAGGCTCGAGTAGGGGAGAAGCGTGTGCTGTGTGTGTACGTGCTTGTACAAGGAATTCTGAGAGAGAACAGAAAAGGTGAATGCAGGGGAGGGGAGACAGAACTGGAGAAGAAATACAGAATCAAGGACTCCTCCCAGCCTCAGGGAAAAGCAGATGGAGGGGTGGGACGAAATCTCATCCTAACACCCTATGGAGTGTTTTGATTGCCTTTTACTGATGCCTGAGAGGATTCTGACTACAAAGCTATGCTCTTTTTCTCCACAGTAATGGGTCAGAGGAGATGGAGGCAGAGGGTAGGGCGGGGGTAGGGTATTTCTGAAGACTGTGGAAAGTGGTCCTGGGGGGGGGGGTGACGATAGAGATGAGGAGAAATGGGTGGGAGAAGTAAGATGAAGACAGGATCAGGGGGCAGAAGTGGGAAAAAGTGGTTTGAAGTTGGGTGCAGAACATAGACTAGTATGGAGTCCTTGAAAGTACATGAGCTTGGAATCAGACCAATTCAGATTCAAATCCTGGTTCCATTGTGTGGCTTAGCCTTTCTGAGCCATGGTTTGTAAAATATAGGGATAATACAAATGACAAACAAATGGTGGGTGTGAGTTTCCCTGTCTGCCTCCCTTCACCCCAGAGCCCTGGTAGGGACAATGTCCCCCGCCATCGCACTGGCCTTCCTGCCACTGGTGGTGACATTGCTGGTGCGGTACCGTCACTACTTCCGACTGCTGGTGCGTATGGTCTTGCTGCGAAGCCTCCGAGACTGCTTGTCAGGGCTGCAGATTGAGGAGCGGGCCTTCAGCTATGTGCTCACTCATGCCCTGCCTGGAGACCCCAGTCATATCCTCACCACCCTGGACCACTGGAGCAGCCACTGCGAGTACCTGGGCCACATGGGTCCTGCCAAAGGTCAGTGTCCCCTAGCCTTCTGCTTCACGAAATACTCCCAAGATGGCAAGGATGGTCTGGGATCTGCTGCTGCCTACTGGTTGCATTGGGCAGGTTCTTGATCATCTCTGGGTCTCTTTTCTCCTCTGCAAGTGAGGGGGCTGGGCAGTTATTCATTCGTCTAGCAAACACTTATTGCCATCCCTTTTGTAGTAGGCACGTACTAGGTGCTGGGTTGGAAAAGGAGGTAGAGGCCACACGGATGAATCAGCCATAAATGCTAGACTCAGAGGGGGCATAATACAAAGGGAATAACCATCTCAGCCCATAACCCATGACTTTGTAATTATCTGTGCTGAATCGTTCTCCCCTCACCGTGGAGGCTCCCACATTCCATTCAGGGTAGCTACCTGGTTTTGTCTCAGACCCAGCTCCTGGCACAAGTGCTTTTAGAACCTGAAGAAATTTTTCCAATTCCCAGTTTAGAAAGACACCCAATGAACAAAACAAAGAGGAATGAAACTGGAAGTTCTAGCAAAGGTCTCTCAGGAGCCTGGTACTTGTTTCTGCCTTAGCCCTCCTGGAGGAAGCAACACTTAAATGGAGCCTAAAAGGATCGTTTTCAGTTTGGCCAAGCAGATAAGGACAGGGGTGGGGAGGCGCAAAGCCAGCCACACATACTAATGCAGCATGAAGGAATGAGCCAGCGATGACTTGGTTGACTCTGGGCACAGTTGTTTGGAAGAGCTGTGGGTACAGTCTACAAAAGGGAAGAGGTGGAAAGGTTGGATAGGATCAGGATCAAGAAGGTCCTGAATGTCAGGCTGAGCATCCCAAGTTCAATCTCAAAGGCCTTTAGGGTCATAGGAACCAAGGAGCAACAGGGTCACATTTGTTTGTTAGAAAGATAGCTAGTGGCTGGTACGAAGATGAGACTGAAGGACAAAAGCCTAGAGGGACAGAGAACCAGCAGGGCAGCTGGAGCTGTAGTCCAAGAAGGAGACCCCCGCTGGTTGGGGGCTACAGTGAGGCAGGTGGGCATTTGAGATCCCTTTCTATCAGGGGCCCTGAATCCATCTCCCATGTCTGCTACAATAAGCCATCTTCTCCCCAGGTCAAATCCTGATGCGGCTGGTGGAGGAGAAGACTCCTGCTTGCGTGCTGGAACTGGGCACCCACTGTGGGTACTCCACATTGCTTATTGCCCGTTCGCTGCCCCCTGGGGGCCGCCTTCTCACTGTGGAGTGGAACCCACGCACGGCAGCAGTGGCTGAAAAACTCATCCGCCTGGCTGGCTTCGACGAGCACACGGTCAGCCCCCATCTCCCTAATTCTGGTATCTTCCCTTCCACCCTGAACCTTGCCCTAGCCAGGCCTCCTCAGTAAGGGAATCCCACCTAGGAGAAGGCAACAGCTCATGTAGGGGACTGTGATGCTGGGTGATATGTAAACTCCTGTCCTGTTTCAAGTCATTTGCTCATATTTGCTGTTCGATGACAAAAGAGCAGCTAAGAGGAAGGTTTTCAGAGCCCAGCAAATATGGGTCCAAACCTTAAGTCTACCTCTTGTGAGCTGTATGACCTTGGGCAGAGGACTTATTCTCTGAATCTCAGCTTAATCACTGGCAGAATGGAAATCACAATACTGATGCTGACTTCTTGGGTTCTGAGGACAGAGGAAATGTGAGAACACCTGTGGGAACCTAGGCCAGGACCTGGCATAAAGTAAGCCAAATCCTGGGGGAGTCTGGTGTGGGAGAACAGACCCTCCCACCCTCACCTCCACCTCCTCCCACCCCTACAGGTGGAGCTCATCATGAGTAGCTCAGAGGAGGTAATCCCACGCCTACGAACCCAGTACCAACTGAGTCGGGCAGACTTGGTGCTCCTGGCACACCGGCCCCGACGTTACCTGCGAGACCTGCAGCTTTTGGAGGCCCATGCCCTGCTGCCAGCTGGTGCCACTGTGTTGGCTGACCACGTGCTGTTCCCTGGTGCACCCCGCTTCCTGCAGTATGTCAAGAGCTGTGGCCGCTACCGCTGCCGCCTCCACCACACTGGCCTCCCAGACTTCCCTGCCATCAAGGACGGCATAGCCCAGCTCACCTATGCAGGGCCTGGCTGAGGTCCAGGCCCAGGGGTACTTACTGCTGCCCCTCCACCCCCACCGAAGCAAGGACCTCAGAACATCCCTTCCTCTCCCTGCTTGTGGCCTGACACATGTTGGGCTAGGGCTGGGTAGGCTGTCCTCCAACCTCTGCCCCACTCCAGTTCTACACTGACCTGAGGCGTCAAGTTCTATCAGGATGCTTGGTTCCACTGGCCCCTTTCCTTCCAGAGAGGCATGGATTGACAGGCAAGAGGCCTGAGCTCCCAACCGAAGTCTGTCACTGATTTTCTGGGTGACTCCAAGGGAGTCCCTGCGCTGCTTGATGATTTAATCTGCTCTGTTAACACCAAGAAGCTGGCTGGAAAATCACCAGGGGTCTCTTGCTCTAGAACTCAGAAGCCTTCCCTCCTCAGCCCATGCAATTCTAGGTAGGAACAGAGGAAAAAGTAAACACTGAGTTACAGGCTCTGAAGGAATGGGTACAGAGAAGCTGAGCCAGAGACAATAGTAATGGAGCCTGGGGCCAGGGCCAGGGCCACCCCTAGTCATGGACCACATGGTCCAGTAGGCTTGCCTGAAGTTCCTTGTATGCCCTCTCCCTAAAGCTCAAGTGAAGATGCTGGATTTCTCTGGGCCCAACCAACAATTAGGGAATAGACACGGGGAAAAAATAAAACCAGTCCTGTGTCTTTATTAAAGGGAGTTAGAAAGGGACTATACCTGGCAATCAAGGGGTGAGGTAATGGGTAGAAAGGTGGGGTGGGCTCAGGCCCTGGAGACTCAAGGGCAAAGTGATGGCCTAGGAGAGCCCAAGGAGACCAGTTCTTGGCAGCAGCTGAAGAAATACCCAAAGGTGAGCTTTCAGGCACTGGGGCAATCAGCTGGTTCTGCAGGGGATGCAGGGTAAGTTGGGCTGGCCAGAATTTCCCTGAGGCCACCCTGCCTTGTCTACCTAGATCATCCACTGGTCCTGATCCTGTTCGTTGCCTTCCATGTCCACCTAGAGAGAAGGCTGGGTGTGGGTGGGGAGGGGCCTCAGCCACCCAGCCAGCCCTAGTCCCAGATCCTGCCCCTGGTTGGATCCAGAGTCTCTGTACCCTTGACCACCAATTTCATCAGGGGCAGGGGCCCGCCCCCACACCCTTTGCCTACCTCATTGACCTCTCCATCATCAGGTGATTCATTGTAGTCATTCATCTCATCCATGTCCTGCATGTCCTCATCATCCTCTGAGTCCTCTTCACTATCCTCGTCGTCATCTTCATCCTCCTCTTCCTCGTCATCATAGTGCTGGCAAGGCAGGGGAGAGCCTATAGGCTCTATAGGCTTGCCTTGACCACTTCAAGGGCTGGTCCACTTGGAGCCTTTCTCTGGGGCCAGTGAATGACCCTCCATTCCCCAGCCTTGCCCCCCACCTTGAGTCTAGCAGGCTGGTGCATGGTCTGCAGGACCTTGGTGCTGGGTCCAATGGCCACCCACTCGAGATCCCTTTTATGGCCTCTACCTAGAGCTGAGGACCATAAGTGCTCTGGAGTCAAAGGCAGGACCTTCAGAATTAGAGCAAAGCTTTAGTCTACCTGGGCCCACAAAGGCCCTACCTGCTGGAACCACTCACCTCTGAGGCCGGCTTGCCAATAGGTACCAGATTGTTGTCTTTCTCTGCGATGCTCTGGAGCTGTGAACAAAGGGGGAGAACAGCGTCAGGGCCCAAGCAGGGCATGTCAGGGGCATGGGACTGGCCCACTCTGCCCCTAAGAAGACAAGCCCCTGCCCCAAGTATGGAGAAGCTTCCTTTTAGTGTCTAGAAAGAGTCAATTCTTTGGTTTCTTGTCATCTGCCACTTACTTATAAACTTAATTCAACTAAATTCTCTAGGTCATGGTTTCCTTATAAGATTATGGTGAGGGTAAAGTGAGAGACTGATGGAGAATATGGCATCTACTAGGTTGTCAATTAAGTCAAAACTATTATTTCCTATGACTTAAAGAGCCTGGACCCCAATCTGGCCCAGAAGCACCATGGTCCCACGGTAAATTAGCAGCATAAAGATTGAAACCTAGGCCTCCTACCTCCCAGCTTGAGTGTTCCCAGCTCAGGGCAAAAAGCTCCTGCAGGGTGGGATCATGGTCAGTGAAAGGCAGGGGAGGCCCCTGATTAAGGCTCCACCACTGTGCTAGGGCCTTACTCACCCAGGCCTGATGCTGTTGTTCTTGCTGCTGCAGCTCTGTTTCCTCCACACAGGGTCGATCCAGATTAAACCACAGTGTCTCAGTCACACGGGGAAAGAGTGAGGGAAACAAGGTAGACATGGCTCCTAGACTGAGGTAAAGGGCCAGGTGAATCCAGCTCTCAGATGTATTTGGTTTCAGTTTTTATGTGGTTAGTTTGCTTTGGGGATGGGGTGGAGTAGAAGGTAGCAGGGAAATAGCTCTTCCTTGTGGGAATCAGACAGACCTGGGTTTGAGTCCTGGCTCCACCACTTACTAGCTGTTTGACCTCGGCCAAGTCACTTAACCTCTCTGAGCCTCAGTTTCCTCATCTGTAAAATGGGGGATAATAACAGTTATACCCACCATCATAATTATTCTGATAATTAATTTACTTTGTGGAGAAGTAAAGCTGTTTGCAAGCTATGCAAGGGGTGGAGAATGGAAGCCAACACAGAGCTATGAATCCAGAATGCAGGCTGGCATTACAAAATTAAACAAAATTAGAGATAGCAGGGCTCCACTGACACTGTCTTTACCTCCTCCAAACACTAAGACCTCCTTTTTGCCGCTTTATGATAATCCATACCATACTTACTCAGTGTCATAAATTTAGGGCACTAACCACCTCTTTCATGAGCCACAGCCAAACTGGGGTGGGGATGGGGTGCACGTAGGTGCAACTATGGTTCAGAAAGACATTCTAAAGGCCTAAGTAAATGGATAAATAAGTACATGTTAGGGTGAGTGAACTAACGTGAGAGATTACGTAAATTCAGCACAGATTAAGTGGTTGAGGGGGCTGACCGGAAAGGTCCCAGAGAATCTGAATTAAAACCTTTCAATTCACATTAAAATCGAGGCCCTGCGACAAGCAACACTGGTCTCTAGGTCACATAGTGAGGTGGGGCATAGAATTCCTACGGGGAGGAAATCGAGGCCAGGCACTAGGAGATGAGCAGGAGAAAAGGACCTACGTCTAGTTCTACTTTTGCCCTAACTCATTTGACCCATCCTGGGCCAGCCGCTGTCCTGTGAACCTCAGCTTCCCGGCCGTGTCACCGACAAAACACCCACCCTCAGGGGCAGTTAAGTGTGAGGCGAGAGACTAAGGCTCCGAAAGCCCACCCCTAGCGGCAAAGCCACCGCCCATTCTTTCCTTATTACGAAAATGACCGCGGGGTGAACCAACACGATGAATGCAGGGGCGGGATTCGAACAGGCATTTGCCCTTATAGGGTTGCTAATAACGAAAGCAGCGGGGCCTGAATAGGGCCAATTAACTGGAAGAAATGCTGGGTGACAGAAAGTGAGACCAATGAGTGACGGATCTTGTGCAACGGGGTGGAGCTTCGCCTCGAGGAAGCGGCCAATGAGCTGGAGCTCTTTATTGTTAAGCGTGTGAATATGGAGCTCCTGAAGAGCCAGGTCAGGGCCACGGGGTTTCTCCGGGGGAGGAAGAAGAGAAGGGGCAGAGAGACAGCAGCCTCAGCCTGGCTTCCGTACTTACCGCGCCGGGAGGCGGCAGCCAGCAGCGACCCGGAAGCACTTCTCTCTGCCTGAGCGGAAGAACCCACCAGAACCAGGGAAGCACCAACGCATGCGCCTTTGCTCTCCTTTTGTTTCCCGCTCCCGCCCTCCACACCGGACGTGACGCTTATACCCTTTAGTCATGTCGTTAAGGTTGGAAATTTGCCTACTCTTTGCCACCACCTCCAGCCTCCGCCGTTGGGGCTCTCCGGTCTGACCCCGCCCCAACGGCACCATTTAACCCCGCCCCCCCGTCTCTAGCCAGGCTCTGCTTGCCTACGCTTACTGAAAACTAGCTAGCAGCAACCTGCTTTAGTACTAGTAATGTTCGTCCTGTGGCGTCCTAGGAAAATTTGTCCACTTTTACTCCAGAATTGCTGAGTGATATTACACTTAACTTGTCTGTCCTTACTCACTCTGTTTCTTGTTGAGGCGCATGCATTCACTTGTGTATAATAGACTTCAGAGATATGAGTCCTGGGGCGCCTGGGCGGCTCAGTTGGTTGAGCATCCAACTTTGGCTCAGGTCATGGTCTCACTTGGTGGATTCGAGCTGAAGGACGGGCTCTGTGCTGGCAGTGCGGAGCCTGCTTGGGATCCCATCTCTTACCCTCTTTCTCTGCCCCGTCCGACTCGTGTGTGACTGTGTGTGTGTGTGTGTGTGTCTCCCGAAATAAATAAACTTAAAAAAATAGTTGAATCCCTACTATATTCCAGCCACTGCTAGAAGCTGGAGATAAATCTAGGAACATGATTCTGATTCCTGCCCCCAATAGACCTCACACTCCAAAAAAAAAAAAAAAAAAAAAAAGACCGCACACTCCAGTGGAGAAGCCAGACTCTGCAGACCCGCAGTGGACTCACAGGTATCTTAGGATTGCCTGTCTAGTTCCAATTCTGCATTCGATATCATGTATGGGTTTGAGTGACTGACTAGTCAGCCTCAGGCACTGCTTTTGGGGAATTCAGCTGCCCTCTCCAGGCCTTGGCTGAATACATTAGTGATCAGCTTCGTCATCTCTCCCACTCGTTGGCTGATGCTTCTGTTCCGGTAACCTCTGACTCAGCCTCCCCTTCAGAGATCATGCCTTTTGGCAATGGCAGTCCTTCGAACCCAAACCCCATTAAGCTCCATCACCCACCACCGTTTTCTAGCGCTATCATTCATCCACAGTTCCACTCCTGACCACACCGGATGTGTGAAGTTTAACAAGTCCTTTTCCCCCCACCTGGATTCAGTTTTGTCTTCAACCAGCTTTGTAAAGTATGCGGCCTTCCTCCTATCCTGGACTGATATGAGGATTTGATGAAACTACATGTTTAAGTGGTAGTGTACTGTATGTGGCAACATGATTATGTTTCCAAGCAGCTCTAGTTGTTATACAGTTTTCATTAAAAAGCAAAATTTGCTTCTTGGAACTGTCCACCTTTTTCATTCATTCACTCAACAAATACCTACTGAGTGCCTTACTGTATTCCTGTCACTAGTCTAAGTAGTGGGTATATAATAGTGAACAAAACAGAACCCCCCTCCCCCATCTCTTCATGCAGCTTCCATTCTAATGGGAGAGATAAACAACAAAGAAGATAAATAAAATATATAGTTTTAAGATTGCAGTAAGTGCCTAGGAGAAAAAATAAATCAGAGAACCAGGGAGGGGAGATGTTTTATTTTAGGTAGCGAGGCTAAGGAAGACCTTATTAGGAAGATGACTTTTGAATAAAGGTCTGAAGAAAAAGAAGGGGGAGGGCACTGTTCTGATATTTAGGAAAGAACATTTCAGAGAGAGATCAAGTACAAAGGGTTGAGAATGGCTGGAGCATAGTGGACTATGGTGAGAGCAATAGATGAGGACAAAGAGGTAGCAGGAGCCAGATAGTATAGCCTTGCAAGTCACAACAATGACTTTAGCTTTTACTCCATCTTGAGAATCCTGTGAAGGGTTTTGAGCAGAAGATCCACATGATCTGATTTACATTTTAACAGAGTTACTCTGGCTGTTCTATGAAGTATAGATTCAGGAGGGAGAGCAGTAGAAGCAGGGAGACCAACTGGGAGCCAATTATAATAATCCAGAGGTGGGAATGGGAAGTGGTTGAAATTTGAATATATTTAGACGGTAGGGACAAGAGATCTTTCTGACGGATTGGACGTAGAATATCAGAGGCAGAAAGGAACCAAGATGTTTGGATTGAACAAATGGAAGACCAGTGTTGCCATTTCTTGAGCTGGAAAAGACAAGGGAGATGCTGGGTTTTTTTTTTTGGTGGAGAGGTGCAACTGTCTGGAGTTCCTTTTTGGGTGTGTGGAATTTGAAATGCCCATTAGAGTATACAGATGGTGAGAGGGCAGGAGGAGGAAGCGACAAGAGGTCTGAAAGTCAGAGGACAGATCTAGACTAGATATATCAGTTTGGGAGTTATCAGTACACAGATGGCATTTAAAGCCATGAGACTAAATGAGATCATCAAAGGAGTGACTGTAGATGGAAAATACTTTCCTTCAACATTCAGCATTTGAGGAAACTAGTAGAAGCAGCAAACCAGACTGAGAAGGAGGGCCTAATAATAATAATGATAATAATAAAGTAGAAAGGCAACAAACTGGGAGATATCCTGTAAGCCAAGTAAAGAAGGTGTATCAAGAAGGAGGTCATGCTCCACCTTTAGAAATAACCCCATCGACCCAATCAAAGGAGAGACACAGAGACTCGGAGCACAGTGAGGCAAGGCTTTAATCAACATTCTTGTGGGGCGCCTGGGTGGCTTAGTCGGTTAAGCGTCCGACTTTCACTTAGGTCATGATCTCGCGGTTCGTGGGTTCGAGCCCCGCGTCGGGCTCTGTGCTGACTGCCAGCTCAGAGCCTGGAGCCTGTTTCAGAGTCTGTGACTCCCTCTCTCTCTGACCCTCCCCTGCTCACACTGTCTCTCTCTCTCTCTCTCTCCTAGAAATAAAATTAAAAAAACATTAAAAAAAAAATTAAAAAAAAAAAAAAAAACCATTCTTGCAAGAGTGGGTGTCTGATGGACTGGCATGCTCAGGACAGTTACAGCAGACAATTTGTTTCCTAGCATGCAAGTCTCTCCCCTGGTTCCTCATTGGCTGGTACTACAGAGGTTACAGCATTACCCGGACATTGCCTATGCCCATGTAAGGCAAAAAGTAGTCTGACTGGAATAAATGTCCATTCCCTAAGGTGACGCAGAGACTTTTAGTCCCTCCTCCCTTTGTTCTTTGGCACATGCTCATTGCAAAGCCCTGGAAAATAAGCCTGCAAAACAGAAAGGGGGAAGAAAAACCAGGAAGTAAGTGTCTAAGGGTTTGGGACTCTATTGTGTGTGCTTGCAGGTGGGTGGGTCATACATATTTCCAATAAGTTGTAAACCTATTGTTAACTAGACAGTACAGCTTTTATTTGGTATTTCTGAAAATGAATCATCTCCCTTCTCACATCTACCACAGCGTAGTTCTGTACAAATTGTGTTTCTATTTGTTTCCCAAGCAGACCAGGAGCTCCTGAGGTCATAGACTTGAGTGGTTTCTATGTCTCCAGGACAAAGCCTGATGTCTCCCTCCTCCTGGATCCCTTCTCTGCTCTTCCTGTGGCCTGTGTCCCCATGAGTCTTTCTTCCTGCTTCTTTTCCTTACAGGATCCCTACTGCCAGCATGCTTTGCCTCTCATGCTTCCTGACAACCCTGGCCTAGTGGAAATTCCTACTCTAGAGTTTCTTACCAAGGTCTGTAGCCAGGTTCAGCAAGCCAGGGTGACTGGTTAGTTCAGGGGAGAGGAAGAGGGAGTGGGAGAAATAGAAATTTTGTGTGGTTCCCTATTTTTGGCTTGCGTAACTCAGTCAATGATGGTGACATTTGTTTTACATTCATTATTCATCATTTAACCGTGCCAAGTGCTTAACTTGCTTTCATCAAGGATAATAAAACTAAGACTCTGAGAGGTTAAGAAATTTGTTTTATATTCCTTCATTTGTTCCACTGTTTGGTAAACATTTACTGAGTACCAAGCAAAAGTTAGACACCATGCTAGGCCCTACAGATAGAGCAATGAATCAGAAATTATCCCCATCCTGGAGAAAAACATAGTCCAGTGAGGATTAAGACAATTATAGGAGAGCATAGGAAATGTTAAAATCAATATATGCAGAGAAGAAGGAGAGATGAATGGGTTCTGGAGAGATTGAGTTTAGACTTTTGTTTCAGAAAAGGAAACATTTGAGAAGGCCTTGAGGGATGAATAGGAGTTTACCTGGTAGACAAGTGAGAAAAGGAACTGTACAAAGAGGCATTATTACCTTTAAGGGTATGGAGCTGGGGGCGCCTGGGTGGCTTAGTCGGTTAAGCGTCCGACTTTCGCTTAGGTCATGATCTCGCGGTTTGTGGGTTCGAGCCCCGCGTTGGGCTCTGTGCTGACTGCCAGCTCAGAGCCTGGAGCCTGTTTCAGTCTGTTACTTCCTCTCTCTCTGACCCTCCCCTGCTCACGCTGTCTCTCTCTCTGTCTCCTAGAAATAAATAAAACATT